AAATCTTAAATTGTTTCTAGTGTAATTAATTAATTTTAAGAATTTTTTTAACGATAATTTCGTCTATAATATAGAAAAACTGGTCCGAAAAACATGAATAAATCTCGAAAATTAATTATTTTACAACTAAAATTAAGGCAAATGGAACGTAAAATATTTAATTAATTTATCCATGTTTATAATTAAATATATATGTATATATATATATATTTCTCCGGTTTTTATTTATAAAGGATGATTTAACAGATTTACATTTGTTTAAAGAGTCTAAAAACAAAAGAAAAATAATTTCTAATCCATTTATACGGAAATTAAATTAGTCGTTTGATATTCTTGATAATAAATCAGATAGGAAAACTACCATCATCAATCATCCTAAATCTAAATGATTTCATTTTAAGTGAAGAATAATAATTTATTAAGAGACTAACGGACCAAGCTGAAGGAATGTAACTAATACAGAAATAACTTATACAAAAAAGAAATTGGAAAAAAAAGCATTTTAAATAATTTAAAGTTATTTAAAAAGTCATTTAAATATGTTTTTCTCTATCTCTCTTGTCTTCAGTGCAATTTCATATACAATAAATAATTTATACGCAAAGAAATATGCGAATTATTCTCTTCTTTTCTTAGTGAAAATAGAGGAAATGTCTCACATGTGTTGAAAAATAAAGATTTTACTTTGTTTCCTGTTGAAAAATATCAATTTTTTAATACAAAAAAAAACGAATTTTGCTAGATTTTCAAGCATATTTTCTATGAAAATTCAAAAGAATTGCATGAAATTATATTAATTTTGATCATTTTTTTCCTTCTTTAAAAATGACAGAAGTTTAATTATTAATAAATAATTTTTTATATTAAAAGCAAATGTACTGTACGTTTTATATTATATACCTTTACGCACCCTTTACATCAATTTGATATCATTACTTCAGTTTTATAACGAGCAAGTCCAAAAAATTACGTCAAATTGGCGTGCATTACACTTACCAAAAGAACGTATCAGTAGTGTTTATACAAATGATCTATGTTATTTATCATTTTTCTACTTATGTCTTCATTTTTCATATAACAAAGTAGATTTTCATATGGGGTTGTCGTTAATTACAANTTCACAGCCCGGCACACGTATTTGTAAAATCTAAGTGACTCGTACAACATGGAATTCATATAAAACGGAAAAATCAACAGTGTTATAGGGGGTCGACTTGTAAATATTAATACAATAATTTATTGATTTCTTTAATATCTCTTTAATAAATCCCTAAATTTCTTGTCTAAATTTGTTTATCTGTATTGATATATGTATGTGGGGGTGGCATAAAAGTCAGTTAACTTTCCTCGTATTGGTTAACTGATATTTGGTCCACCCTGTAGTTTCGTACAATCGCCTTTAAATTTTGCATCCAAATATTTAATTTTAAAAAAATTTATGAAAATTTAAATAATAAACAGATTTTTTTTTTGTATTTAATATATTAAAATTTTAAAATTAAAATAATTTAAACCGGAACCAACTTTACACATAGGAGAAAAAAATAATGCGAGGTTTGTTACTCTGTAGCAAAGATATTTTATGAAAATTAAAAGAATCTAATTAAATCGTGGAATGATTAAGTAGAGTTTTAAACAAGCTTTAATATTAGAAAATACATGTTAAGTGGAAAATTGCTTTTTAATGAATCGCTATAACCGAATACCTTATCTAAAAATCACTTGTTTAATATATCCAATACTGTATTTCTCAGAAAGACTTTATTAATTATCTCTATATAACGTTTTTCCTCCCTTCTTTTTTTAATTTTAACTAATTACTTTCAATGGAATAGTCAGTAATTATTTAATTTTAACTTTAAAATGAATGATACACTCGTAAAATGCTCTGAGATTCTCTAAGTGCAAATTATAATTAGAATACAAAGTACAATGAAAGAAAAAAGGAAATTAAATGTAAAATATCATTACTATTTCTTATAAAAATAGATAAATAATTCTACGTAATAACGTTAAAAAGTGCAATTAAATATAGTTACAGGCTGTCACTTTACGTACACCTGATACACAGTTTTCTACTAGATTTTCTGACATTCTAAGAAATCTTTTATATTTAAATAAAATAAAACTATTTATTACACACTCAAAACAACTTTATTTTACACCATTTTCTATACGAACAACTCTACAGTAATTCTAAAAATTACTATATATTGATACATACGCTTGTAAATACTACATAGGTGTTATATTGCCTTCACTAAGCTGTTACCTTATGTAACTGCAACTACTACGTAAATATTTCTCAACAAATACTTTATTTATTTTCGTACTTTGATTCATTCTATCTGCTCAATACCTACAGAATGAAACCTCCTCTTTTTCATCTCTTCACTCTATTCCTTTCTAGATCCTACAGTGCCTAAATCCTTAAATAGCCTACACCCTTGAATAGCCTAAATTCTTCAGAAGCCTAGATCCCTGAATAGGATATATCCCTGATAATAATAAACTGATATGTTATATAAACGAAAAACACTATTGATTTTAAATATTACTACACATACTATTATATTATTAATAGTACTATAAACCACTATTAAATATATTATGTATTCTACTGATAATATAAAACATTTAGTAACAATTTATTAATTAAATATTTTCTATTTTTTAAAAGACACATTACTAAATAACAGAGAAATTTATATATATAAATGAATAATAAAATTCATCAATCAATCATAAGACAAAAAAATTTACATAAATAATAATTAAATTATTCAAGAATAAAAAGAAAAATAAATATAATTAAATCCTTAATTATGTCTAGAATACAAATAATTCTGTTTTACTTAATTACTTTTCAAGGTTTTATGTAAATACAGAAACTAAATTAATGAAAAATGTCATCATTAATTCATTGATATTATAAAATAAATAAATATTTATTTATTTATTTAATATAAAAAAAAATTGTGTCAAATTTAATTATTGCCTATACTATGAATGGAATTTAATTATTAATTAATATCTCCTTAGTTGAATTTCCTATCACAATATTCTCCAACATCTAATATTAAATGTCTTTTATTACTTTCCAATCTGGAACTTCATATATTAAATGATATAAGAAAAGAATGCAGATATTTTAATAAATAACAAAAAAATTACAAAAGTAATTAACAATACAGTCGACCCCCTATAACACTCTTGATTTTTCCGTTTTATATGAATTCCATGTTGTACGAGTCACTTAGATTTTACAAATACGTGTGCCGGGCTGTGAATGGCTCACGTATTTGTAAAATCTAAGTGACTCGTACAACATGGAATTCATATAAAACGGAA